TTCTTGTTTAAAGTTGATAAATTATTATTTATTTTATAAATGGATACAGAGGTGAGAAGGAAGACTCACAATAAATTAGATGGGCACATCCAAGCTTGTCAAACAAGTAATACTGCCCAGGTTCCATAAACCATTCAGCAGAAAACTCACTGGAGCAAAAGTACAAATTCAAACTATAATCCAGATTTCTAAACAACTCTTAGAAAGTCATTTAAAACAATTTTTTTCCCTGCTAAAATGGTTTTCAAAATCTTATATAAGGGAAAAAAATTATTAAAACTTAGCAGAGTATTAACAACATAGAGCTAGTGTAGATGACCAGATTTTTAAATAATGCTTCAGCATTATTTAAAAGAAAATTTGGCTAAATGTTACAGAAAGAAGTAGTACAACTGTGGCATACATTCCATAAAAAACAAAAAAAAACCTATTATCTATTAATATTTACAGATACCAGTAAGTAACTTATAAAACACTCCGTAATAAAGCTTTTCCACAGATGTCCACCTTTCATTTTAAAGCATTTACAAGAAGAAAATAAAACTAGGAATGAGCAAAACTCAATTATTAATGGTAACATGTGTTTGATACTTTACAAAAAGAAACAATTAGAGGAAAAGGGAGATATGATAACAACAGATAATAAACTTTTCTGAAACAGTAGGCACCCTTGTGTTGTTCTTGTTATTTAATTAAGAACTAAAATGGCCACATTACACAATGCAATGAGATTTAACAATGACATCATTTACAGAAAGCCACTGAATGGATAAAAAGAATCAGTTGAAAAGGTCTCTAAACACTGCCTTTGAGTATCTTACTAATCAGGGCACCTAGGTTTCCAAATCTTTTCTATTTAAACTTAAATCACCATTTAAAAAGCTTCAAGGTCATTTGGAGTCTTACTGTGGAGCTACAGGATAATACACTGGACTGCCAAGGTCAGCCGGCAGTTCAAACTCACCAGCCTGTCCTCTGAAACCCTATACAGGGTCGATATGAGTCAGACTGCCTCAACAGCACTTAACAACAATATCATTCTAAGAAACACGTAGAGAAAAAGATCAAGAAGGCAAAGGAAGCAGAAACATGTGATGGTATAGCAAATATACTTGATAGGCATTTTTAATATAGAAAATTCTCTTGTATAACCTTTTGACACTAGATTAATTCTGAATACATTTTAACCATATAAACTTATTATTAATGTTCAAATGCACTAGACTAAATTTAACAAATTAGGTCTCAGCAACCTGACCCCAAGTTTAGTGACACCATAGGCAAACCAACCCTGTTATCACATTCTTCAATTTAACTTCTAAGAGAAGAAAGACATTTTTCTGACCCCAGTAAAACTGAGCAGATGTGAAATTTTTATTTTTAGTGCCTGAAATTTGTTTCTTGAGTGAATTATAGCCATCAAGGAAATATATTTTATTCTCCTGCCAAAGTCCAACCATGCACTCTTTATTAGGCAGAACTCCCACAAAGTCATCCAAACTCAATCTTTCAAAGTCCGCCTCCCCTCAAGCTGGGGCAATAGTTTTTCAGCTTTTAGCAGTGACTGAGAAAAAAAATCTGAGCGTTAAACTAAAAACAAAACAGTATCTGTCAGTGTGACTACAAACTAAAAGGAAAGAATGCTGAATAAGGGTGCTGGTAATGTCTTGAAAAAAGAAAATTAAGAACCATTTCACTGCCTGGAAACTGAGTTTTCTGGGTGGTCCCTTCCTCACTACCACCCACCAGGGACAGAGCCAGGAAAAACAACAGAAATGCTGTTTTATTGTGGTTCTCACTTGTACCTTTTCTGTATATTCAGCAAACTGAAGCATGGGGGTTAGGAAAGTCTGCAGGAGAGCTTAATAGTTTAAAAGATGATTAAAAAAAAAAAAGATATAAACAAATTAAGTGAATAATAGTTCCTAAGATGCAGTCTTCCACAACCACATAATAATTACTCTGTTGCTGTTATTGTGAAGTGCCTTCAAGTCAGTTCCAACCCATAGCAACTCTGTATAGTGTTTCTGAGGAGCAGCTGGTGAGCTTGAACCGCTGACCTTGCAGTTCAAACAGCTTTGCAGTCTGGCGCATTAACCCACAGCATCACACCAGGACAGAGTGTTATATATAATCCCCTCCATGGAACAAGAGTCATCCGCTTTCTCCCTATGGCTATTTCCATTCCATCCACCTTCCCATCCCTTCTCAGTTTGTCCTCAGGTACATACTGCCCATTTGATTTTGATTCATAGTGAGCATACCTTACTAGTATGCTGCTCCCTCTATATATCTATCTACTGCTTGGCTGAAAGTTGGGCCACAAGGGTGAGTTCTGTAAAATTTACAGCCTCAGAAACTTTACATATATGTGTGTGTATATATATATAAAAAAATAAAAACATGATTTCACATCCAGTACTCTTTCTACCAAGTAACATTGCCAAGAGGTTGTATTCTTCCAGTAAAAAAAACTATAAACCAGAAAAGGAGGAGGGCAGGGAGGAGGGAATTAGACACTTTGTAGCAGCCAGGCAACATTTGAACCACACTAAACTTCCAGGAAATCATTTTATCACTAATTAAGGATAAAGTCAGAACAATTAAAGGAGAAAAAATGTTGCACAATTATGACCAACCAGAAAGGAGGAAACTTGTATCTTCTGAAACCACTACTAACCAAGCACAACAATTTCAACCCTCACAAAATGGCCTTCCAGTGCCTCATTCTCTCATTAGTGAATGTCAAGCTGTTGCTACCTTACCAAGATGTGCTTTTCCTTGAGCTCAGAGACCATCAATAACTGCTAGGTAGCCCTATCCTATGACATATTAAATGGCAGACTTCCCCAGAGCATGATTTAGCAATGAGAATGCCTCATAAACTGTTCTCTACAGCTTAAGTAATAAACCTTTTAGAAATTGCAAGGATTCATGTTATTAATTTAAGAATAATCTCACAACCTTACTTTCCTTTAAAAAAAAAAACAAAATGGCTATATGCAACAACTAAAAAGGAAAGAGAAAACAAACATGCTGGTGCACATTACCCAGAAAGTGTCTAATTTTCCAGACTGTTGAACTCAGTTTTTACAAAATTTTGCAAATTTCTACTGCTTTTAAGTGAATGAAGTCTTTTAGCCTCCAAAACATCTGTCAGCTACAAAACCTTCCATTTTAAAGAAGCAAAGACATATTCTCAAAAACATGAGCAATTTTAAGGCGTTCTCAAATTCTACAATAAAACTAGCAGGAACAGTGAGGCTCAGCATTGTCTATGGTTGGCTGTTTTCTCATCACTTAACTGCTCATGACCCCATTTTCTTAAGTAGAAAATAAGGCAGTTGTACTAGATTGTTTCTTAAATCCCTTCCAGCTCTAATTTTCTATTCTAAGATCTTAAACTTATTACAAAAATTACTCATACTGAAGTTCAGTGTAGTCATTTTGACCGCACCTAGAACTATTTTAGTTAGGAATCTTGAGCAGGCTTTCCCCCCAAATTTTCTTTAAATGCAGGAGGCAGGAAATATGATTATCGTCTACTTGTTATCACCACTTACATAGGAACCAGCCTAAAAAGAATGAGAATGAATGCTACAGCAAAGGTAAATAATTCATAAACCCGTATACATCCCAATAGTATTACATATTTGATGGCATTAAGCTATTTCCCAGCATAATTTGTATATTGTTAAGTGCCTTGGAGAGGGTTCCATCTCACAGCAACCCTGTATATGATTTCTGACGGTGTAATTATAAAAATGGTTGGCTGTTTTCTCATAACTTGGACCTTTTATTTTGCTTTATTAGAAATTAGCTCTACTGTGATATAAAATAAAATGTTAAATTTTAGATAGACTTTCATTCTCATCTTTTTTTAAGGATGTTTTAAATGTCAAATTAGCCAACAATGAAACATTATTCAAAATGAATGAATGGTGTGGTCAACTAATTCAAGATATATGTCAATATACGAGGAAACTTCAAAAAGTTTGTGGAAAAATTCCATTATCTTTTCAATACATTTTTCCACAAACGTTTTAAGTCCCCTCATATATTTCTTTCCCTATTTTTCCCTTCAATGCTCTCTTTGCTCCTAATCCTCTCCACTCCACCTCCTCACTCCATTCTATGTGCCCCCTTTTCCTAGTTTGCCTCTTCTTCTCCATTCCCTTTTTCAGCCAAACACAGTACTTTCTAAGGCAGCCTAGAAAGTGTTTCTAGATCTACCAAGGAAGTATCTGAATCACCTAGAAAGCTTATTAAAAATGACACATTAGTGTGAGAAACTCTGTTTGTAAAATAACTGAGTGAAAAAGTAAATGAATAAACCTTGGTCTACCAGCTTGCTCCCAGAGTGGGATATTCTGGCTAACTAAAGATTAACCAGGGAATTTACTTTGTGGAAAAGCTTTCAAGATTTCATTAGATCACTTTTCTCTTGCTTAGGCATTACAAAACAAGAGAAACATCTGAGGATTTACCAACTATTTGACAAAAAGGTCTAGTTTATAATCAAATTCTTAAAATTCTATACAAGGACTGACAAACTATGCTCACAGACCAAATAAAGCCCTTAAGCACAGAATAATTTGACATTTCTAAAAGGCTGTAGAACCAACCAACCAACCAACCAAGAAATGTGACAGAGACCACAAAATCTCAAATTTCGTATCTGGCCCTTACAGAAAAAGTCTTAGACCCTGTTCTACAGCAACTAGACACTGAAAGTCCAGAGAGACTCCAGGATATTCCCTGGAAATGTTCCTCTGTCATTCAATTAATTAATTGAAAGGGGAAAAAGATTCCAGTTAATTTCATCTCGGATGATTTAAACAGAACCAGTTATTTATACAATTGATTGGCCTTAATGACTAGTCCTTAAAAAGGGTTCTCTCTTATGCCAAAAGGCAATCTATCTCATTCCTTAGACTCTCCAGTTTCAGCTGAGATTTTGGAGTTCATTCTGGAAACACTTAAAAGGTTGGAAGTCTTACCTGAAGCATTTGCTATAGTCAACGGCAGGCCTGGAAGTTGGTGCACCTGGATTCCTGAAGCACCCAACGCACTGAGGTTAATGGTCTGGAGGCCTGGCATAGAGGAGAGTTGGGCAGCATTCACAGTGACTGTGCCGGCAGGGATTGAGGCAGCTGAGGCAATGGGTGTCAGGGTGGTATTGCTGCTACTTGTCTGCCCCAAGGAAACACCCTGCATTGGAGCCAAGGTGATTGTCTGGGCCTGTGGGTTCTGAACTTGGAGGTTCTGCAGCTGAAGAGTCTGCCAACTGACCTGTCCATTGGGCCCCACTGTTGGTGTCCGGATGATGATGGGGCCAGAATTTGGAACAGCCTGAAGCTGGAGGTTCTGGAGGGTTTCCTGGGAGATAGCTTGAGTTGTAAAGGTCTGCCCTGACAGTGGTGCTGCTTGAAGGGCCTGGAGGGCCTGTCCCCCTTGAACTAGCTGAGGCTGGATAAGAATCTGTTGTTGCTGCTGTGTCTGCTGGTTTTGTTCTCCCTCTTTTTGCTGACTTGTTTGCAGTGAGCCTCCAGCTGTTTGGTTCTGCTGGATGTTCAGAGCATCAGACCCCTGTAGCCCACTGACCCTCTGGGGTGTCTGGCTTTGAGAGTTGGTCCCTGCTGATCCGCTGGTGGTAAAGTTCATAATTCCCATGTTGCTGGTGGTAGTAGTTGCTGAGTAGCTGTTGGCATTGGTGAAAAAGGAGCTGGAACTGGCTTGCGATGATACCAGGCTGGCAGAACTGATGGCAGTCCCTGAGGTGACGGGCTGTGCACCGCTCTCCTGGGACCCCGAGCTGCTGATCGTGACTGCCTGAGAGCTGGGAGTCAAGGTAGCTGCAGAAACGCTGTTGACAGGTAGCAAGGTGATGTTCCCATTCAGGGCTACTGGAACATTGGTCACATACTGAGTCTGTCCTGAGAGTACATTATTAGCCAGGCCTTGAAGAGGGACAGCCTGCTGGAGTAGGTTTGGCATAGCAGCAATGATGTTGCCTCCACTTCCTCGATTTGTGATAATCTGTTGGTTTGCACCTGGTATGATCTGAATTTGACCAGAACCATCCTGCTGCACTTGAGCGCCAGTGGCTGCAAACTGCAGTTGTTGCCCATCAACGGTCTGGAACTGTGGTATTACTTGATACTGAATATTGGGCATCACCCCAGGTAATCCTGTCAGGACTTGCTGGTTCTGTAAATTGGGGGTGGTAGCCACAACATATTGCCCACCAGAGACACTGCGATTCTTAGAAGACTCACTGCCATTGCTGCCATTAGTACTGCTGCCACTCTGTTCCTTTGAAGTAGGAGTAGCTCCAGAGGAGGAAGAGATAATCTGCCAGCCATTGGCACCTTGTGAAAGTTGTGTGGCTGCGAGGTCCAGCTCACCAGTGCCCCCTGACTGGCTCGGGCCCTGGGAGTTGTTGCTGTTCTCATTAGGTGACTCAATTCTGCTGCAAGTTGCTGCCAGAAGAGCCAAAGGGGATGGCTGGGACTCCTGGACAGAAAGAAAAGTGACAAAAGGCGTTACTGACACCCAGCTGCCAGTCCAGGAACTGTACAACTACTGCAGACAAATATAAAACCAAGGGCCAAACTATCTATATTGCTCAAGTTTCCATCTTTGGGGATCTCCACGTCATTTGTCTCTCTGTACTTCCTTCTTCCCCTAACTGTAAAATAAGGAGCTCTAGCTGGACTGCAAAGTGGCTTTGAACAAAGCTCATCAGCCACTACTTGGAAAACCTACACATGGTCACTATGGATCAGAACCGACTCAGTAGCACTTGACAACAACAACAAGTGGCGCTTTAGGAGTCCTGATGTGGCACAGCAGAATAAAGCACTGGACTGCCAGGTTGGCTTGAACTGCAAGGCCTGTGATTCAAACCAATCAGTCGCTCCTAAGAAACCCTATACAGAGTTGCTATGAGATGGAACCAATGCCACAGCACTTAACAAGTGGTGCTTTCGAGTAAGCACTGAACTGCTAACCACAAAGTGAACAGTTCAAACTTACTAATGAATGACATTGTTGTTTCTGCTAAAATGTCATCAAATCGGTTGTGACCCATATTGACCCTATAATGTGGTTTCTGAAGAGCAGCTGGCGAACATAAACTGCTGACCATGTGGATCAAACAGACTGCAGTCCAGCACATAAACCCACAGCACCACACCAGGCATGTTGTTGTTGTTAAGTGTCGAGTCAATTCTGACCCATAATGACCCTGTATAGGGTTTCCAAAGAGCAGCTAGTTAGCTTGAACCACCAACACTGCAGTTCAAATGACTTTGCAGTCTGACCATTAGCCCATAGCACCACACCAGGACTCCACACCAGCCATAGAGCCACAAATGAGGCTACCTACTCCTGTAAAGATTTCGTCTCGGAAACCCTACACAGGGTCAATATGAGTAAGAATCCGCTGGATGGCAGTGGGTAGCTGCAAAATGCTTGAATCCCTTCCTAAGTTTTTTTTTCCTGTGCAAAGTTAAAACAACTATCTTCTCAATTTTTCCCCACACTTTATCTCTGACAATCACTTACCTGCCCTCCTCCTCCACTGCCGCTACTGCCAGTGCTGCTGCTTCGGGCCTGAGAATAGGCACCGCCACCATTACCATTGCCCCCATTATTGCCACCAACTCCTTTTTCAATCTTCACTACAGCCGTCATTTCATCCATGGAATGATCTTGGTCTAAAAAGAAATAGAAGATAAAAAACTTTTTAAAAGTTGAGGAAAGAAAAGGGTAAAAGGAGGTTATGACGAAACAGAAATGACTAACAGGAAGGCGCCTGTGTAAAACTATAGACTGGGGGAGGGGAAAACTGTAAGACACTAGGATGTGAACTAGTTTCTGGGATGCCAGAACTGGGCCTCAATACTTTTCGTTAAAAAACAAAATTATAACTCTGAAATCATTCAACAAATGCTTTTGTTATATAAAATGTGAGGGACTGTGGACATGTTGAAATAATTTTAAAATAAAAAATATGCCAGGATAAAAAAAAAGGAAGATAGGTAAGGCAAAAAAAAAAACCCAAAAAAACCAACATGTGAGTGAATGGAAAAGGTTGCTAAAATTAGTGGTAAAGGAGAGAGGCAGAAAAGTAACAGGAAGAGAGCAGGGTAAAGGGGGAAAAGACGAGATAAAAAGTGCAAGGGGGAAAACATTGGTAAATACAGGTAATGGACTAAAAGGGGTCTAGGGATCAGAAATCATTAAATTTCGGGGCGGGAAGAAGGCGGGCTTTAGAGGGAAAGGGCGGTTTCGGGGTGAGGGGCGTGGAAAGGGCGGGACGGTGGGGGGGAGGGGAAATCTACAGAAAGGGGGGGGAGGGCCTTGGGGGCAGTCGGCGACCAGAGGGCGGGCAGAGAGGCGGTTGGCCCGGGCGGGGCCTGCTCTGCTCGGGCCACCCCCGCGGCTCCAGTCCCCCGGCGGGAGGAGCCTTAGGCGGGCGGTAGAGTAGTGGGGGGTCAGGCCCGTCCCCCGTGGCCGGGGCGGGCAGGGGGCGGGCGAGGCCATGCTGCCCCCTCCCCCGGGGCGGGTGGCCCATCCCCCTCCTCCTCCGAGGCCCCGCCACTGCCCCTTCTCCCTCCCTTCCCTCCGCCCCGGGCGGGACCAAGGCCGCCGCCGCCACCGCCTCCCGCCCGCCCCCCCTAACGGCGGGGACCGCCCGGTCGGCCCTCGCGCGCGCCCCCTCACTCCCCTCCCACCCCTAAGCTTGGAGTGGACTCATCCTTACCGCTCATGGTGGCAGTTGAGGGACGAGCTCAAGGGGGTCCTGTCCGGGGGGGTTGGGGGGGGCCGGGAAAAACGCGGACGCTGACGAGGCAAGCGAACCCGGACCGGACAGGGAGGGGGGGGTAAGGAGGAGGGAGCAGCGCGCCACAAGCTCGGCCTAGACTCCGCCCCTTCACTGCTGCCCCGCCCAATGAGGGAGGGGGGAAAGGAGGGACTTGTAGAAGAAAGGCGGGCAGGTTGTCCAATGGCACCACTCAATTGCCCTCTAGGGCGTGTAAGAGAGTGTTGCGTACCTAGTATCCGCCCAAAAATGCCGCCCTCTCAGTTTTAAAAACCAATGAAAGATGCAGGAAGTGAAAATGGGCGGAAGCCCGAGATGATCGACTTCGAAGAAAACCAGTCAACCGCCAGGCGGGCTGCCTAAGCGGTAAGGATAGGGAGAGTTTTGATAGGAATGACAGAACAACGACCAACTAGAATCCTAGACATGTCTGGGCAATGTACTGGTGGGAGGAGAAGCAGGATGAGATAGGATGAAGCTGATCAAAACCAATCAGAAATCAGGCGGGCAGCCAGGAAAGTTATGATTGGATAGACACTGAAAAAAGACAGGTCAGGACTCTTATTGACGTGACTAAAAGCCAATTATCCGCCGAATGAACTCTGAGGGCAGGAACTTGGAGTGTGCAGAGAAGAGTTGGCGTCTCCCTCAATCACTTGGTCCAATGAAGAGGCGAAATAAGCCAGGCACCGCCTCCAAATTGACCAATGGGCGTTACTAGAGTCGCCCGTCATGGGGGAGGGAACAGGGCTGTGCCAAGAGAAGTTCGTCGCCATATTGGCCCTCCTCAGGGGACGTCTTTATATGGTACACTCCAGCGGTACCCTGTAGTTCCACAGGTGTCAAAGCAAAGACCAAGAAGTCGCCTTCAGCTCGCAGCCTCGGGTCGTTTGAATCCTCATTGAATAGCCCTAAAAACGTACCTGTCAAATCTCACCCCTCCTGGTGCAGGCAAATGCTTCTGAATGTGGGTGTAAACCCTGCACTCACAAGCGAGCTGAGACCTGGCGACAGTGCTCTCAAACTGTTAATACTGAGCTGCCAAATTGCCAAGTTTCTGTGAGACTCAGCAAACGCTATTTTACTCATTTCCCCCAGAGAATGACGCGAGCCACTTAACTTATGGCTGGTTAACTTTGGCATTAAAGTGAAGAATTTCCTGGGGTCAGTCAAGATCCTAAACTTCCTTCGCCTCCACCCCCAGACTTAATTGTAAATAGCGCCTAACCATAAAGTAAGATAGCTAGTTCCTGTTTTTGGCAACCACCGAAGTTAAAGGAGATGATTTTGCCTGAGGCACCTGGAGTTCTGGCCTCCATGTTGCCTTCTCCTTTATCCTAGTTTTGGTGAAGGAGGCCCCGATGACTTATAAATGACATAATGAGGTCATTCTCTTGAGCATTTAATCTTGTATGTTGTCATTTCTTTATATGTTGTCCTCTTTTAAAGTTTGAGTTCCCCTTGAAAGATTTTAAGCCCTTTGAAATCAGGAATTTAGGTCTACTTTAGGCAGGGCCTGGAAGAGTGTATAATCTGAATGCCTACTGAGTCAGGGGCTGAAATCGATTAGGTGTTGGCATTACTTTCGTCTTCCTAGGGATGATATTAAGTATTAAGAAATATTATGAGGTATTTTATAAGTGAAGAAATTTAAATTGGAAAGTAATCTGCCCAAGGTCACAAAGCTTTTAAAGTTGTGCCAGATTCCAGCTCCCCCTCCCCCAAAAGTCTTACTCTTAATAAAACAAATGCCTTATATAACCATTTATATAAGGAAATACTCCCAGATTTCTGTTGATGCTGAAGAAAATTGCATTTGTACTGTTTCTATCTCCTAAAAAACTCCTAGAACAGCTCAAATAGCATCATCTTGCACACCTTTTATTGTACAATTTATAACATTTAATTTCCCTAGATCAAAGTTTCTCAAAACGTAATGTCAATCTGTAACAATTCTCTGAGGTACTCTTTTTAAAAAGCAGATTCCTCAGAGACTTAGAGAGGAATGTAAAAATTAGTGAATGGAGGAGATTGCCATTGTTGTGAAAAGAAATGTGATTTGTTGGGTGTAAAACTAATGATCACTCAATTCACAACAAAGTTGTGTGTTTTTTTTTAAAGCTTAGTAAAAGCTCTATATTTTAAAAATTTAGAAAACAGATTCCTAAACCCCAAAATCTGGAGTATGGAATGGTGTTTAAGAGTATGCATTTTTATGTAGCTTTTTCAAATGATCAGTCCCTGAACCAGAATTTGAAACACTCTGAAGAAACTTCCCAGAGGGAAGAAACTGCATTACTCATCTTTTGTAAACTAAGCACAGGAGATTCTAACAGCTGTGGAGTGTAATCAGCAAAAGACCACACCTAAATTTACTAAGGAAGGAGGGGAAGGAATTAACATTTGTCGCCCAGTCCTCTAAACGCTTCAAATACTATTTTATCTAACTTAATCCTTTCAACTCCTATGAGACCTTCATCCCTTTTTACAGATGAGAAAACAGAAGCTCAGATACTTGTTAAATTATATCTGTTGGTTTAGCTTCAAAATTTGTAGGTTGGTTGTTTTTTTCTATAGTTCTAAACCAGCCACTCCTTGGAAACGCCATACAGGGTCTCTATGAGTTGGAACCAACTCAAGGGTACTTAACAACAACAAGGTAGTCCTAGAGTCCTGGTGTGGAGCTATAGAATAAGCACTGGACTATTAACCACAAGGTCAGTGGTTCAAACCTATCAGGCACTCCTCAGAAACAGACTCGCACTTGACAGCACTTAATACAAAAATGTAGTCCTAGGAGCCCTGGGGAAAGGGGGGGACGGGGGAGAGACACACACACAGGGGCATGAGGTAGTAGATTATGCATTGGGCTGCCAACCAGAAGGTCAGCAGTTCAAGATCACCAGACACTCCATGGGAAACACATGAGGCTTTCTGCTCCAATAAAGATTTACAACCTCAGAAACCATGTATGAGTCCTGGTATAGCTCTGTAGAATAACCAAAATAACCAGAAGGTCGATGGTTCAAACCCACCAGCAGCTCCTTGGGAAACCTTATATAATGTCATTGTGAGTCAGAAGTGACTAGAATGCATTTAGCCAAAACATGAGTTGGAATTGATTCATTGGCAGTGGGGAAGTAGTCCTGTGAGAAGATGTGGCAGCGTGTATCCGTAAGGACTTCAGTCTTGTCCTATAACGTCACTGTGACTCAGAATCAACTGGATGGCAATGCCTGAAATGTGAGCTAGATTTGGTTTTATTCCCAGGCACTAAGAAAAAGACCTAGATTTAGACTTAGAAATTCAACAACCATCATCCCTTTCACAATCCTTTCATTTTGCCCCTCCTAGGACAAGATAGTCAAGTCTCAGCAGTCTTCTAAACCTTACTTTCTAGCTTTCTGATCAAGAAAACAAGTCTAAGTTTTTTCACATCACAAATTCTCTGATGAGTAGGCTAAGATCATTTGCAAAGCAGTGCTGACTCTGGAAGGTGGATGGGGCAAACACATCCCTCAGTCTTTTAAAGGAAAGACAGGAGCTTCATCCTTGTCTCTGTTTGGGAAGCCCAGAACTGGTTGCAGATATTCTCCATTATTATTATCATTACTTACAATGACTCATTCTGTACCTTTTCTGTGTGTTTATTTCCTTATCTAAGCATTATGATTCATCCCTGTCTAAACTGTACTTTGTCTAGGAAGACATTCATTCAGTCCAGCAAACACATGGCTTTGGTAATGCTGGAGAAGGAAGAAAGGCTGAGGGGGGAGGGGACAAGTTTTTCTATGAAATTTGGGAGTATGATTAAGAATACAATTTCGTTTTTTGTTGGGAGTGGAACTCTGGCCCAACTTTCTTGAATTTTATCTCTTCTGAAGAGATCTGCAAGACAACCCTGAATGTAAACCTTGCTGATAGTTTCTGATGCTTGAAGGCTCTTTACCAAATAAAATGGTTTGAGGTCTCTGAGGAAGAGAAATTGCTGAGACGGCAAATTCCAAACCTTCTGAATTGAGAGCTAGAGAAGATGAGCTCAGAACACCCAAAGGGGTCAGAGGGCCAAACGGAGCAAATAAAGCTTTTCTGCATTTAAATCTGACCCCTAGGGACTCCAGCTTGGAACAAACACATAATCAAAACATTTCCCTCTCCCAAAATATTCAAACTCCTCAGGGAGCCAGAGCTCACCAGAGCGGCAGCAACCATCAGGCATAGTGAGGAAGCCAGTGCAAACTACCAACGTGCCCTCACCATTCACACACACACACACACCCTCCCTCTCCCTCACCCTTCCCATTCCCTTGCACCCTAAGGACAACTGGAATCCTGCCTAGCAGGTGAGCATTAATAATTTTTAAATCCTCTTTTAACCAAAAAATGAAGCCGTTTTCTTTCCTCCTTCCTCTCCTGGGACGAAAAGCCCTTAGTTCCCTCCGAAGTCCAGAGTTGAGAAAAGAGTTACACTTTCTCAGTTTCCCATTCTCAGAAACAGAAGAGAGTCCCTGATAGGTTTGACAAGTCTGGGGGAAGGACGTGCTATCCCCAGGCATGCACTGCCGAGGTGGAAGGAAGGAAGGAAGGCAAGGTAGAGTCCAGGGGGCTGGTCCTGTTTCCCCCTCCCACGGAACTTGGGCCACCCTGGGGGCGGGCGGAGGGCCGGGCTGGGGGGAGGAGGGAAGATGGATTCGTAAACAAACCCGCCTGGGCCACGAGGTGCCCAGAGGAATGGGGTGGGGTTTGCAGGCCTCTCAGGCCCAGCCGGGAGTTGCCTGACTGGTGTGGGCTGGGCCCGGCAGGGGCCTCTCCACCCCCAGTTTCCGGCTAGGGGTGGGCCATCTGGTGCTCCCTAACCACAAACCCCTCCTTCCTGTTTTGCCCTCCCTCGTTCTAGCCTGAAAGGCTAGCTGAAGATTGTGGAGGCCTGATACCTGACTTATGTTCTTCCGGAAGTTTTCACTGCCCCTGGAGGAAAAGCAGATCGGGCGAGTGATTCTTAAAGAGGAAAGGCCGTGAAGCACTGTCAGTTCCTAATTGGAGTG